TAGTATACCGATCTTGGTACCACCAGTATTTCACGAATTTACGGGGGTTAATCGAGTTCAAGTTGATAAAGCAACTTTTTCACCTACTTCTGAAGCATACACTACATATTTTGCCTAGTTTCCGAATAGCTGCTTACTTGCATTCGGACTTCGCCGTTTATTCGCAGTCATGAGCAAACACCGTGAGACGAGGGATGAGCAGGAGAATGGGATCATTCGTACCATAGGTGAATGACTCATCCCCTGCTCTACCGGTACAAGGTCGTTTTGGCGCTGTTTGTTCCCTGAACACGTGAGGCTCAAATTACATGAGTAGGACGACCTAACGGTAACAGGTCTACGAACTATGCTTATTGCTTATCGGTCTTAGAAAATCGGATCCGGGTGTGCGCTGTTGTGGATCACGTGATATCTATTCTATCTATTCTATCCGAATCGAGTTTAACTGATCTCCTTGGATTTTGGTAAACGAATATCAACCAATTTCTGCTTGTGCCTCGATGTTTATTGCTTTGAAAAGTGGCCGAATCGAACTCGCGCCATGCACACACACATACACTGCGATGCAAACAAGCAAAACTACGTCGCGGCTTTTTCCGACCCTGACGCTAGTTGATCTCTTCGAACCGGATCGTCGATCTACCGGCTGGATACACAAGATATAACAATTTAGGAGGTATGGGACAGTATTACAGTGAATATGTGATCAAATTCTACCGTGGTCGACACTGGTTGTCTTCCACCCAGACAACCATAGATTGATTGTAGTCACCACCTTTCTGACAAAGGTTCGTGAAACCAACTCGCTCGGAAGCATTTGCCTTGCCGTAGAGAGCATTCGATGCTCTCGGTGGAAAACCCTTGTCGTAGTGGATAGATTATAGTTTGATCGGTGTGTTTACGGTGCATCTTTTCGGTGGCTGATAAAATGTGGCCGGATCTGAGCTGTCCGCGTATGGTCTCGCAACTGTGTTGGTAGAGAGCGTGCGCGTGTGATTTAAGAGTACCGTCGGTGCCTGTGTGCGGTTTCGCATCGACAGTCGAGGTTACCGATCTTTTCAAGTAAAGTCAAACTAGGCTTTATGCACCCGAAGGATGAATTTTCAGCGATTTTTCACGATGATACAGTGGAAACGGAGGTGGGGGTGGGGACAATTGCATAAGAGTGCCAATGGGGTAAACGGAACAATAGCACATTGCAAGAAAGAAGACGATAGTGATAGATTAAAAATGAATAAATAAACTAATTAATGAGGTGTTCAACCAAACCTGTAATAATTGGTGACCGATTCACTAAAAGACAGACAAAAAAGGTAGGATGCTCTTTCTGTATGTGATGGTGTGTGGGGGAAGGAGCTTATAATGGGACCGGGTACGGAGGTTCGATATGCATTTCGGCATTTCGTTGTGCAAGCAGTGAGCTTTGTTGTTCAATATTCTATCGGTTATTCTTTCACAAGCGTCGACATGCTTGCACACAATAAAATCAACCGACATTTCTGGCTGCATAGAGAAAGGAGTTTTATGGATACAGAAATAATAAGAAAATATCCCTTCAGACTGTATGAAAACAACGCAATCTAAACAGGCAGATCAGATGTCGCTTGGCCGAAAAGTTAAACAAACCGCGAACAAGTGAACCGAGCCCAAACTCCGGTAGCAATAAAATAATGAGCGATCACTGGCTGGGTAGGGGAGGGGGCATACTGATCACGTGTCTGAACAAATGAGAACAAAATTGACCATAGGCAATGGAATGGAATACGATCTATGGCCTGTTTGTTGCGTTCCGCTTGTTACAGTCTCCTGCTTAACCATGCCACACCTATGCTTGTTTATAGCCACAATTCGAGAATGTCTCCACCAAATAGTGGACTTCCTTCCACTGTTAGTTAGCCGATTGATCACCTAATTTCATCAATATTGCAACGGGCAAGACAACATTTTACACACGGACGATAGTTATTTCCAGGTGGATCAGAGTGGATTGTGTGTTTTCATCACAATTTTATATGAGAAATCCCTTCTCTTCGGAAATGCAACATATTAGTAATTCTGTTGAAATGAATCGTTCAAATTTCTCCACTGTACTTAAAATGTTTCCTGTAGCACAATATTTTTTTCCAATATACAGAAATTACTGGCTTGCTCGATCTTCATCTGGTTTGAATTACACACACACACACACACACACACACACACACACACACACACACACACGCATGCACCGGTCAGTCCTTTGCTGTTGGCTTACTTGTTTCCTGTGGCTAGTCGTTTTTCCGTGCGCGAAAACACACACAGACCGGGTTGTGGTCGAGGCCTCCGTGATCTTCGCTCATCGACGCTCGTGAGTACGGTTTCGTGGTTATTAGGACCTGGCGGATTCAAGCGCACACTCGCCAGTCCGCGAAATGATGGGGTATACAGATGTGATGAGACATAGAGGGTTTTTATGAATATTTGAATCTTGAATCTTATGAATATGGCTATAAATGAAAGCGGTTTGAATACTGAGTCGATGAAAATGGCTCAAGTTTTATACAAGGTTATTCAAATGAGTCCAAAGTTGTCGACTCGTTCCGTATAATTGAAATGTCACTCACTGCTCAGACAAAATCCAGCACAGAAAACCTGGTCCACGTTGTGTTCGCACGTAAAAACCCACTGGAATTTGACCATTAATATCACGTGTTCTGAGTGCAATCGAAATCGGATTGATCGATCGGGACTTTCAGAGACACTGTGTCCCAAATCGCATCATGTGTACGGGTTCGATTTTCATTCAGACTGAAGTGTGCACTCTGTCCGGTTTTTTTTCTTTCGGATTGTCTTCTGATAGCACACGTGTGCTGTATCTCCACTCTATGAGATACCAGTTTGCATCACAGATTCCCAATTATTTGTCTACTCCCCTAGTCCTCCTCCCGCCCCCTCCCAACCGATGCACCAACTAGTTAACAATAGACAACAATTTAACTCTAAATCGCGTAGACTGACCGTTTACATGCATCTGTTACTCAAGTGCTGGTTGCAAGTTTATTTATTCCCATCGCGCTTAGAGTGGGACACAATTTGTTCATGCTCTTTTAACCAGGAGAAAAAGTGATATCAGTGAATGCATTGCAATGCATAGAAATATAATACTTTTATTCTCAAAATGGCAAATTTCTCCTCTACCTCCCCGACCCGAAGCAACATATGCTTTCTGTGTTTACAAAAAGAGATCCATTCCAGTTTCGTACAAAGCTTTCCGGATGCTTATTTTGTGTGCGTGTGGTGGAGCACTTATTTCTCTTGAATGTGGTCGTTCTTTAAACGGCGAGACCGTAATACATAGTACATCTCTCGCCCGAGTCCTCATGATAGGAGAGAGTGTACGGTTATAATCGAGATAACAGTTCGTTATCCGTGTATTTGTGTATGTGTGTGTGTGTGTGTGTGTGTCAGATGCAATCACAATTGATATGCCTTGTGACAGTTTACAAAAAATCGGTAGACATTTCCCCAAGGCTACAGTGCTTATTTGGTTTCCAATTGGGAATCTGTGTTCCGGTCTTTTCGATCAGTGAGCAACTGAATCGTATCGTATGCGAAATTGCATCATCAGTGAGACACATCAGCTGTTTCCAGGCTCAATGATATTGCCCATAAAAATATTGCTTGGGCGTAATACGTGTAGACATTAATTTCGTGATTGGGGTTAATCAATGTAAAAATTTGGCGGGAATTTGTTTTGTCGCATTC